TATTGTATTAGTAAGATGTTCAACACCTGGATGTGCAAAAAGGATGCTTGTTTATATGAAATAAAAATGTGTTAAAACATTTGTTTTGTGTCTATGTTTCTTATTATTTTAGCTGCAGCGGACAAAACCTCATGGCTGTATGGATAGTAAAAGAGGTGCATTTATATTTTTATATGTAACCAAGACTAGGTCTAAACCTAGTATATTGCTGGACCGTGTATGGTCAGTGGTAGTGTCTATAATGTCAATTCCTGGATTTTAAATGTTAATTTGCAATTTTCTGTGGTCCAAGTAATATTTGTTCTTAATGTGTAGCAAATCACGACATGGTTAAGCTAGGTTAAAGTTAAAAACAACAAAACACTTTCCATCTATTTTTAAAGATGTTTGATATGAAAGATAACTTATTCTAACTATTTTAATTATCTATTAACTCCCCTTTCTCTTTCTTGTTTATATTGTTGTCTGTTTTTTTGTATGACACATGATGAAAAAGTATTGCATTCACGTTTTTCTTAATTAACAAGATACCTCTAGCATACTCTCCTAGGGCCAGCTCTCAGCTCCCTGAGTCAAATCCTAACCCAACCCTCTAAGGAATATGCCATGAAGTCCACACCGTAGCCAAAACTCAGCCCGATATGATCCGTTTTGCAAGAGTTACAGTAGAAAAACAGATTTTGAAATTAGAGAGGTAAAAATTCTAAATAGAAGTGTTAACATTTATTTGTGGAAGATTGTAAATGTATGTCCTCTGAAAATGCTTTTTCAACTGGTGTATTACAACCTGACTTGTTCTGAATGGGTCTCTGAGTGTGTGGTCAAGGAAAAAAAATTTGTGTGCACTAGTGGTTGGTGGCTGTGGCAAAAATTGGGTCAGAAGGGAAACCAATCCACAGCTTCATGTTATGTTACTTTTTTATTAGTTGGCTACTTATCTATAATTTCTTCTTCTGAAGTGACCCAGATGGCGAATGTTGATCTAGAGTGACATAAAAGTCACATTTATTCTGATATGACTGTTCACACTTAGGACATGTTCCCAAAAAACAGACCTGAATCTGATTTGGACCACATATGAAAGTGGCCCAAATCAGAAAAGGAGATTCCATGTGTGCTGTTTACACTGTCATAAAAAAACCTGTCACATATTAAAAAAATAATTTGGGTTACTTTGGCCTGCAGTCTGAATGCGACCATAGTGTTATTTTTATCCCGCTCTTATTAAAGATGTATTTCCTTGCTCATTCTATGTGCAGAAAATGCCCAGGGTTAGCGGGAGAAAGACCAACAGTGCTCTCACCAGTCCAGTATGTTAGAGCATGTCAGGCTTGTTTTATCTGAGGGACCGTAAAACATATGTTTTGTCACATTGGACCAATTTCATATATTTATCATGATAAATTAATGATGGTCACCTTTATTTTTTTATTCCCATCTGAGAGGGGCTCAATTAAAGATGCGCAACATCACTTTCTCATCTGATTGCATCCAACTCACTTATCCAAAATAAAAATAAAAATAAAAAACAGTTGGTGTAGAACATGAGTTGTTCACAATAGAATATGGTTAAAGGTCCAGTGTGTAGGACTCGGTGGCATTTAGCTGTGTAATTGCAGATTGTAACTGTGTTGTTTCACCATCTCCTTCCAAGTGTGGCCAATGTGTGAAAAACGCCCCTATCTAAAGCTAGTGTTTGGTTTTTCCCTTCTGTGGTAATGTAGAAAGATGGTGGTTTAACATGGAGGACTTTGTGGAAGGCAACTCGCAGTGTCTGTAAATATAAAAGGTTCCTATATTCATGTGATTATAAACTAATGGAAACATACCTATGAATTTTCTATTCCATTTTTGCCCATAGATTAGGCAAAATGATACACACTGGGTCTTTAAATAAATGCTTCTCTATTCAAATCCCTGCTCCTCCATTTAAAAAAATGCTCTCAAAAGGAAAATTACAGAAAAATAGCATAAACTCAATCAGTCAAACAATAAAAAATGACAAACAGTGAAGCACAATAAGACAAGACGAACATGTGAGAATTGCTGGAAGCACAGAGAGAAAACACATTAAAAATACTGCAGAAAATACACAAAAACACACAGCAACCAACTGGATTCAACACTGGACAAACAACTCATAACTACTAGAACTACAAGCATGTTTATTGGTTTACATCCCTTGTTTAATAAAATATTTCACTGATTACTGAATATAATAACTCCTCACAGTGTGATGCCTCATGATATATTTCAATAAAATTCAAATTATAGCAGGAAAAAGTCACAAAATGGACAGTATAGGACTGGAATAAGTGCATTTTTATTTTCTATTATTATTTTAAGTATTCAAATAGAGCAGGTAAGGTTATTAGCTAGATAATATGAGTTATTCTTCCCCAGTCACAGTCAAGATAGTTTTACATTCGTTTGTATATGTAGATGACTCTGTGGCAGGACGAACAGCGATGCTCTACATCTTGACACGAATCAATGCAGAACGGGATACAGCAGCAAAGAAAACACCTGTAGGAGAAAACAAAGTGAATTGTAACTTTCTAGTTTTGTTCCTGAAGTAATAATAGTTTGTAAAACAACATTTTTTGTTTCTGATTTTTAGTTTAAAATGATAGAAACTAGATGTGCAGCACGTTTCTAGCTAAAAGGTTGTTTTACCCAAAGAGGGCGAGTCCACCGCAGATGGCCCATGTCATCAGCCCGGCTGTGTGCTGTGTCTGGGTGATCACTGTCTGCTGGCAGTGGGGACACACAGTTTGTCCTGGGACGTCATGTAGTGCAGGTGCTGCTACTACTATGTGAGCCACTGTGGAAGAAACACACACACACACACACACACACATAAATTAAAGGTGTCCAGAGATGTTGGAAGTCATCCATCTTGTTTATATATATTTATATATCATAAAGAATATATGCTTTCATAGCCTACTGATGTGATTGTCAGAAATGATAAGTAAAAGAAGAGAGGGTTTGGGGCGCCCTGGTAGCTCACCTGTAGAGCTAGTGCCCCATGTATCAAGGCAACCCAGTCTCATATAAAAACGTACCCTGGCTACGTTGGTCCAAAGTGCAAAAACGTTGAGGGGTTTTTAGATGCATGTTGTGAACATAGTAACTGGGCTGAAAAAGAGGCACCAATAGGCACACTGCAGTCATTTTTTAAACAGGTAAAAAAAATTAAACGACTGACGAACAAGGGAGCTGTGTCAAGAAATGGCAGAACAGATGTTTAAATAGGCAATTATAGAAAAACACAAATGGGGGGAACGGTACTCATGAATCATTGCATTGCAGACAAACCTGAGATTGGATGTGGCTTTACTGTTTCAACTCAATAGGCTCTCTTATCGAGGCGTACTTTATTATCGATAACATTATTGCATTATTAGTCTACGCTTGATTAGTCACTCCTACCGTTTCGGTCTCGCTGGTTGAGGGTGTATTGGAGGTGTGTGTTGTAGGTAGCTAGTTTGCTGTCGTGCATAGTCACACAGGGGGGGGGGCTTCATGGGTTGTAAAATATTACAAGAATCCCCATTGAAAACAAGACAATATTTAAAAGTCTGGATACCAAAAAATTGTGTCTTGACAAATCCCCTCAAACCGCCGGTGAGGAATTCCGCATCGAAGTGTATGTTGAGAGATTACACACTTCCAGATTTAGGGAAATACCACTGGACTCTATTTGTTTTAAATAAAAAACTACAATCCCATTGACCCCTCTTCATCTTGTGTTGACATTCAGAACGCGCGCCCCACGTGTGGTAAGGTTCCTCCCGTTTTAATGGTTGTTGAAAACATAGTAGGCGTACCTAATATATCAAATAGCACACACCTGTCTAATCAAATAATGACTTAACTGCATGTATATATGTATGATCTATTTGCTAAGAAAAGACAAACAATGTTTGTTTATGAGTTGAAGGGATATGTTGGAGCAGGTAGAACCACACAGGAGACCACGCGGCCAGGACTGCTGCCTGCCTCACGTCGACGCAAGGCGACGGTTCCTTGCATCTCCATCAGTAACGGCCCAGATGTTGTAAGTTGACCGCTATCGCGACAAGAATAGACGTCAGTTCAAGGGCTGAGAGGCTGATTATTAAAGCGACATACGTTTGACGTGCGAGTGACTGGTGTTGGTGCTGGTGGTGTATAAAACACCGCCGCGCAAATATCTTTAAGACAAAAGAAGAGAATGAATTGTAGGATTTTTCCACTATCGTGGAACTCTGCAGGCGGGGCGGCGTCATGAGCAACACAAAACGTTTCAGTTCACATTTTCTGGCCGGAATCTGAAAAATCTTCTCAACACGAAGCAAGCGAGAGTGATTATGTACATTCACTGAGTGAATTATTAGAAAATAAAATTACATATTTCCGCTAGAAATTAATCAAAAACGTATTTTATGCAGAAAAAATAATTCCAAAAATATTGATTTTTTTCACTTAAAAAATGAGAGAAATGTTGCCACCATCGTTTTTTGTCTTTCAACGGCCGGGATTTGAAAGTCATGTGACTTGCGGACGCAAAAACAAAAGACAAAGGAATAGGCAGAAAAAATGTAACAGTGAACAATTTAAGGGCCATTATTGATTAA